GGAACAGAGTCAAGTAGTTAACACAAACAACAGCAATACCCCTGAGATTTTACAAAAACTTGTCTTAAACTGTTTTATTTTTTCAATTGTACTCGTTTTATAATTGCATGCATCATCAATAAATAAATCATTCCTGCTTCTAGAACAACAATGGCCTCAGCGGCGCTACTTTCGAGACAATCATCATTTCAATTCACCAGACCCACCACCGTCTGTCTGTCTGTATGTCTAAACAATGTCTACCAACAATCGAAGGAACTGCTTGGAATAGAAAACTCTCCATTCACTAGTTGACTAGTGATTCAAATCTCTCTCTCTCTGTCTCTCTTGTCTCTCTCTCTCCCTCTGTCTCCAATGCCCATCAGTGCATAAGACACAGAATCAGCATCCAACTCTCTCACTACCCATTGTCCTTTCTCTCACTCTCTCTCTCTCTGTCTCTCTCTCTCTCTGTCTCTCTCTCTCTGTAAGTTCCTTCTATAAATAACTCCTGAGCTAAATACAAGATGCCTGCCCAGGACAATACCAGCGGCACAAACCAATAAAACAAATCTGGACTTGATTCTTTATCTCTCTCTCTCTATACCTCTCCAACAAACACCTCTCTATCTCTCCAATAAACACATCTATATCTCTCTACCTCTCCACTAGCATCTCTCTACCTCTCCAACAACTAACATCTTTCTACCTCTCCAACAAACATCTTTCTACCTCTCCAACAAACACATCTCTATCTCTCTACCTCTCCACTAGCATCTCTCTACCTCTCCACTAGCATCTCTCTACCTCTCCAACATCTTTCTATCTCTCCAACAACTAACATCTTTCTACCTCTCCAATAAACATCTCTCTATCTCTCTACCTCTCCATCTAGCTAGCTACAGAGAACACACTCTCCACCCCCCCCCTACACCACCACAAAAGCCACACACAATCTGACAGTCCAGTCAAGCCGTCTCTGTCAGCGCACACACACACACACTCTCTCTCTCTCAGATACAGGCAAGATATGTCCAGGAACAAGTGACGACATCACTTCCCTCGGTGAACACAACAGGAAGCAGCCACCTACAGCAACTACAACACATGCAGAGATGTACAGAAAACTACACACTAAACAGTCCCGACACACTACACACTGCGCTGGGAACACACCCCGCACACAGTGCCAGGAACACACGACACACTGAGCGGGGGAACACACTACACACTGTGCGGGGAAGACACACACACAGAGGACCCCAGTCAGCGGGACATACAACCAACCTTTGGTCACTTGACACAAACTCTCCACAAATTGTCGGCCGGCTGTTCACCTGTACCACGCCCACAATTTGGAACTTTTTTAAAAACTAAAATTTCTTAACTTAATCTTTGGTATTGTATCATGTGCTCATGAACACTGTCAAATTTCAAAATTCTTCATGCTGAAAAAACAACAACATAACGTTTAATGAAACCAGTTTTTTCTCCATCTTGAAAAATGTACCATTCTGGGCTTTGAACACTTGAATGAGTTACAGACAATTTCATTGGTTTCTCAAACAACACAATGTCTTTAGTTTACGTGGAGGTTTTTACGGCGCTCGCAACTGCATAAGGTCATACGGGCGTTTTACGGTCTCTCCCACAGCTCTCCACCCAGTGCTAGGTCACAGACACCACGGCCACACAGCTCGCCACAGCCCTATCAACACTACCACGTTATTTACGAGGCAGGACCTCCCAATGTATCACCCGTCTCCAATAGAACCTAGCCTTGAAAAGTCCATAAAACAACACAAGTTCACGAAAGTTCAGTCAGGGATTTGAACCAAGACTATCCACTCCGTGGTTCAGCATGATACCTACTGAGCTAACCAGGCACACCCCC